GCCGGCTGCCGAGGTCGCCCAGGCAGGGGCCCCTTTGTCCTCACGGCTGCCCGGACCCTGCGTCCCTGGCTGCCGCAGTGCCCCCGCCCTCGTGCAGGCATCCTGAGCGGGACCTGGCCCGCACGTGGGTCTCCCTGGCTGGGCACCCTCTGACGGCAGCACCGAGGTCCCGGGTCTGGATCTCGTCTGACCCGCGCCGGACACTGCTTAGCTCTTTGAGCTGAGTCTTTTCCCCTTTACCCAGAGGACACAAGGGCCAGGGACGTTCCCATGGCCTGGGTGCCCGGGCGCGGGGGCTCGAGGGAGCCCCCCACAAGGTGTCCATGACGGAGCTTAGGGCCTCATCCTCACTCTTCCGAGCTGCCGCCTGCCGGACGCCGGCCTTAGGGTCGTCACCCAGTGAACAGAACGGGGAGTCGTACGTCCCCCTGTGGGACCTCGCCACCAGCTCCGGGCCTCCCGCCTCAGCCGGCTGCTTCTGCACCACTCGCAGGATGTCAGCCGCCCACCGGGGGTGGACACCACTGGCAGCACCCCACAGCATCCGGGGGGCCGGTGGGCCAGCTGGTCGACCTCCAGGTGCCAGGCCAGCTCCCCGGGGGCGGCCTGGGCTCTGGCCTCCGGCGGGCGGGCAGACGCAGCAGCCACGCTCCATGCCGGCACGTTCCGGGGAAGGGGGCGGCTCTTAGGGTCCTCCGAGCAGAGCACCCCCACTTCTTCGCGGCTCCTTGGGAGACGGTGCCGGAACTTTCCGTCTCTCTGAGATGGGCCTCCTGGGGCATCTTTCTAGACCGAGCACAGGACTCTGCTGTGTCCTCCAGGGGGGGTTGCTGGGTCCCCCAGGCCTCCCTGAACAGCTGCCCGTTCCCACTGCCTCCACGCCTCTCCGGGGCCGCGGCGGCCAGTTCCTCCCCAGGGCTCTTGCAGTTTGCCGGGGAGTGGGGGTGCCCGCCGCAGGTGCAGACCCTGAGACCTGCAGACTCCCCGAGACAGGCCCAGCCGGGGCCGTGGTGTCGGCCATGTGGCCGCCGTGGCCAGCAACCAGGGCCGGCTGGAGAGGTGGGTCTGGCTCAGTCTTGGTGCTCTGGAGCTGCCGCAGCCGCCGCGGCCTGAGTCCATCCGGCCAGGGAGGGACCCCAGGGCGTGGCAGGTCCCCCACCATCTCCCCGCCGCCCCCTCAGCCGTGGGTCTCAGGGGACCCGCCTGTTCTGCTCCCCGCTTTGTCTCAGGGCATCCTCCCACCCCCACCTCTAGCCTGTACTCCAGTTCCGTGTGCGTCTATAAATCAACCTTATCTTCCCCGCCACTTTTCCGTCTTTCCAGCGAGTGAGCATCTTCAGGAAGAAAGAAAAACCCACAGGAAGCCACAGCACTGCCCGTAGAAGCTCAGGCCAGGGTGCGTGAACCCCCTACGGCACTCTGGAAGGCCCCCCTAAAACCAGTGAGGCGAAGGCCAGCGCCACATCGCACAGGACGCAGGCCGGACACCCCCACGCGGGCGAGACCCAGCGGTCACTGCCCCGCCGGACAGCCAGGCCGGGCCCGCCGACCCCAACACCCCGGTATCTCTCAGAGGCCGCCCAGCAAGGACCCACGAGGCCCGGGGGGCGGCAGCACGAGGCCTGTGCCCTCCACGGGGCCC